ATTACTCTAACTGCTCGTCCCGGTAGTTCTCTTTGTATCCCAAATTACCTGTTTCCTCCAGAGTCAGATTTTTGGTGTGTTAATCTTGGTCTTTTGCACACTGCTGGTCCTCCTCAAATATGAGGAGACTTCAAAACGTTTGTGAAAAGATTAAAATACAAGTTTATTTCAGTCCAAAAAAGATTGAAATCTATGTATACCACCAGATGGCATAATGGTTACATTGTTGGACTTCCACGCAATCAACTGCGGTTTGAGTCCTGGACCTGGTGGCTTAAAACTCACACCAGCTGCAGGTGCATACGTGCCCAAAGTCCAGAGAATGGAGGAGAAGGGATTATGGAGTGGCCATCTCCCCTGGGGGGTGATTTCTTGTCTTCTATCTTGTGACACCTTCTATCTTGCCTCTTTCTGGTGACGCCCTATAGCAAAAATTTCTCTAAAAAAAAAAAAAAAACAACTAAAACTAAATTAAAAATATATATAGTTTTTAATAATATGCATTTCTCATGGAGTTTTTGAAGACCTCTTTATTTCATACTTAGCAATCATTGGTAATGATAAGGCTCAAAACATGGTAGCCAAACTAAAATACTTTGGCATGATAAATATTTAAAGCTGGGAGCTAGACGTGGCATAGTGATTAAGCACTGGACTCCCACATGGCCAACCGTGGATCGAGTCCTGGATCTGGAGGCCTGAAACACACCAGGCATGTGTATGTGTGTGACTAGAATCCCGAGAGAACGGAGGAGAAGGGGGTCATAGTGTGGCCGTCCCTCTGTGGAAGTGATTTATCACTTTATCTCTCTCTCTGTCTCTCTTTGTGTCTCTGTTTGCACACGCCCTATAGAAAAACATCTCTCTTAGAAAAGAAAATTAACGTGAAGAAATTAGAGAAAACTGCTGAAGCAGGAGGGTCTCGCTCACCTTCTACCCTTCTCCTGTAAACTAGATCGTAAAACCGAGAATTCTCCGTACTTTTCCTGAAGTGGGTAATGAGACCCTCGTATGAGCAGTGCCATTCCTATTCCTGGAGGAAGGAACATCCTCTCTCTGAACACACAGGGATACAGAGAAGAACCCGGACAGGCCTTGCTCATTCCCTCCAGTTTATTTCTATTAGATCACACGTCTTTTGTCCAATCATATTTCTCTGCAACTATCCCCTTCATGAAAGTTATGATTTTTCTTGTTTCTTTAGGTCCTCATTTCTGAAGGCTCCCATGCCATGTAAAACTTAAATAAATATGGGACCAGCAGTTGGCGTAATGGCTATGTCTCTGGACTCCCATGTAGTCGACCAGGGTTCAAGTCCTGGACCCAGTGACTTAAACTCACACCGGGCATGTGTGTGTGCGGGCCCAAAGTCCTGAGAGGAGAATGGAGGAGAAGGGATTGCAACGTGGCCATCCCCTCTGGGGGATGATTTCTCGCCTTCTGTCTCCCTATCTCTCTTTGTCTCTCTGGCAAGTGCATGTGTCCTATAGGAAAAAAATCTCTCCAAACAAATACATCAATAAATAAATATAAAGAATTACCTACTGGTAGTTCTAACTACCGGATTTTCTCTGTTGGTTTTCCTCTAGGTTTCTCTCTGGGTAGAAATTCTGGCTAGAAACTTCTTACAGATCAAGATAGGACATGTCAATTCAAAGTCTTCAGTTCGGGGAGAGGAAGACTGTCAACCATCAGACTATGAACCACCCCAGACGCCAGAATAAGGAACATTTTATTTGGATCAACACCGTCATACTAGAAGCCTGAACTTCCCTCAGAAAATTGGGTGGATTTCTTTGGAGACAATATGTCTGACACTTTTGTCGGAGGGAAAATGCCTCCCAGGTGAGGGACATTTCTAGTCCCGCTTTCCTCTGCCTGCTGATCAAAGACTTGCCTCTCCTCGGCAGCCTAAGGGACCCGGCTAGAATAGCACACACCGTCTTTTCCGTATTTTCCCTCTTCTATCTTTTCGTAGTCTCTGCCTTTATTTCAATGGGCTCTATCTAAAGAGGGATTAGAGGCAGGAAAGCAGGCATGGTCTTGAAGCAGAAATCTGCTCTTCTTTCTAACTGTTCCACACAGAAGCTGCCAAGATTGATAGAGGCCCATAGCAATAACTTATTCATCAAAATCAGCACAATTCTAAGAACTGTTTAAATATTTTTTTTAAGAATTATTTAATTTGGGACCAGCAGTTGGTGTAATGGCTATGTCACTGGACTCCCATGTAGTCTACTGTGGTTCGAGTCCCGGACCGGGTGGCTTAAACTCACGCCGGGCGTATGTGCATGCGTGCCTAAGATCCTGAGAGGAGAATGGAGGAGAAAGGATTGTGGCGTGGCCACCCCCCCGGGGGGGGGCGATTTCTCGCTTTCTGTCTCTCTGTTTCTCTCTTTCTGGAGAGCACACGTGCCCTATAGCAAAAACCTCTCCCCCCAAAAAAAACCTACTTAATTTTATTGATTATCATTACTTTTTAATTTGCTATAGGGCACATGTACTCATTTGAGAGAGACAGAGAGAGAGAGGAAGTGAAAAAAGCAAGCCACCAGATCTGGGACACATACCATGGACAGCCATGTGGAAGGCAAGTGCCTTAACCACAACACCACCTGCAGTTGCCTGGAACTTCTTATTTTTTAAATTTTATCAGTGGGTGCATGCTCTCTCTGGAGAGAGATAGAGAAAGAAAACATCTCTCATAAGGTATGATCATGCCACGATCCCTTCTCTCGTTCTCCATCTTTCTGACATTCGCATGCACGCACATGTACCCATCACGTTTCCCAAGCCACTAGGTCTGGGACTCAAACCACGTAGTCAGTCATGTAAGATAAAGCCACCTTAGCCACCATACCACAGTCTGGCCCCATCATCTCTTTCCTTATTTCATTTGTATACACCCAGATAACCCTAACCATAGCTACTGAGCACAGAATAATGCCAGAGAAACCGTTGGGTCAAAGCTAAAGGGAAGTCCCAAGTTTGAAGTAAAATGAAACTCAAATCAGTGTGACTGAGTTGATCCTTTGGCTTTCCACCAAAGACTCCTGTGTTTTCCTCCTCATTATATTCAATGTCAAACACCAGAATCTTAAATAAAGCATTTGTCCATTCATTCATTCCAGAAATATGTTTTCAGTTTTCCTTGTGCAGGCGCTGAGTATAAATGGAGAAGACGCATATGCTACCGGAGTGTTCAGATTTTTGCCATAGCGTGTGTGCGCTTGCCAGAGAGAGACAGTCAGCGGGAGAGGGGAGAAAGCACCCCCACCCCCGGAGATGGCCACGCTGTAATCCTTTCCCCTTCATTCTCTCCGGGTTTCGGACACACATGCACACGAAGCCAGCATTGTTTCTCAAGTCACCGAGACTGGAACCTCATAGTCGGCCATGTGGGATCCTGCCACCTTCACCTCCAACTGTCTGCTGGTCCCAGAATCGTTTTCTTTCTTTTCATTTCTAAAATATCATGTTACTATTTCCGTTTTCTTGATTCACGATAAAGTGTGTGTGCATGCACGTGAGTAAGAGAGAGAGGAGCACCCTCCACTGATCATCCCACCATCCCCTTCCTCCAGTCCTCCAGCAGTTCAGGCCTCAGCGCTCCAGCTGTGCCCAGTCAGTTTCAGGACAACTGAGCCGGGGACTCTGAGGAGCCTACCATGTGGGATCTGACTTCTCCTGAGCAGCACATTACTGCTAGGCTAGGAAATCACCTCTAGAACGGTTTTCTAGTATCTTAAAAAATAAATAAATAAAAATAAAAAGAGGGGCTAGTAGGTGGCATGGTGGTTAAGGGCACTGGATTCCCACATGGGCAACCATGGTTCGAGTCCCCAACCTGGTGGCTTGCTTTCTCACTTTCTCTCTCTCTCTTGCTCTGTCCCTCTCTGGTCTAAATAAGTAAGTAAATACATAAGGTTAACTAAAATAATTCTTTTTAAAAAAAGAAAGAAAATTTTTCCTTCCCCTCCCCCCCAATTGCTAGGAGGCACATGCGCTTGCCAGGAACTAAGAGGGAGAAAGCACCCCCTGCCCCAAGTCCCTGTGTGGTGATGTCCAATCCCTGTCAGGATTCCGGGCATGCACTCACAGGCAGCCGAGTGGCTGCCGAGCTGCTGGGCCAGGATTCCATCCCGGGGTCATAGGAGATTGTCTCCCCGAACCACCAGGCTACTAGCCAGCCCCTTTGACTCTTTTCACTGTCAACATGCAGAAGTGAACGTTGCAGGTTAAATGGACTTCGAGGACCTTGCTCTTTACAAAACTGTTTCCGTGGGAAAAAGATAAAGCGTTTACTAAATTGACCTATGGGGCTCCTGGAGCTGTCCTAAGCTCCTATCAGCGGTATTATCAGCGGAGGTGACGCCCATGTTCCCAGCCCCGAACGTCCCAGGGGCTGGTTCTTCCTAGCTGCTGGGCGCTGAGGTTGTAATCAACTACCACAGGCCTTGCAGAGAGGTGAAAATACGGCCCGGATTAAGGCTGTCCTCAGGCTCTTTCCAGTTATTTCATGGGAAGGATGGTCTTTAGGTGCAGCTGATGAAATCCAAACGTGCCCAGGCAGATGGGGAGGATGGAGCCTTGGCCCTGACGTGTGGGTGAAGGGAACAGCCCGCCACCCACCGCCCCCCTGCGGCGTCCTCCAGGCTGGAGCCCCGTAGGAGTTCAGGGGCCTCACAGCCTCATGTCCCCGCACACGGCCCTGGGCGGAGTTCCTGCTCCTTTCTGCTTTCGCTCCCTTCCCTCGGCCCTCGGCGCGAAGTGCGCTCAGGAGCACAGGCCCCTCGCGGCCGCCCTCGGACGCACACGAACGTCCGCCCCTGCTCTAGCGCCGGGCGCCGTGTGCCCGCTGCGGCGCTCCGTGCTCTGAAATCGGGTGGGCGCACACGCCCCGCTCGCTGCAGGGCGCTCGGCGGAGAGGCTCGAGTTTAATCACACACAAACAGTGTCCGGCTTCCTGTCCTCATCCCCCCTCCCGCCCCGTTTCCCTTGCCCCTCCCTCTCCCCAGTCCGATCCGCCCGCCGGCTCCCCCTCCCTCGATCCCTCGGGTCCCGGGATGGGGGGGCGGTGAGGCAGCCACAGCCCCCCGCCCCCATGGCCGCCCGTCGGAGCCAGAGGCGGAGGGGGCGCCGGGGGGAGCCGGGCACGGCCCTGCTGGCCCCGCTCGTCCTGGGCCTGGGCCTGGCGCTGGCCTGCCTTGGCCTCCTGCTGGCCGTGGTCAGTTTGGGGACCCGGGCATCGCTGTCTGCCCAGGTGAGGCCCCGCGGCACGCCCCTCGTGGGCACTTTGGGAGCAGAGACCGCAGAGGAGCCCACGGGGTCCGGGCGGGCAGAGGGCAAGGGAACAAGAGGAAGGGTGGAGGGCCAGATGTCAGGTGGAGGACAGGGTGACGCTGCCTCCTTCCCAGCAGGAGCCTTCCCAGGGGGAGCTGGTGACAGAGGAGGACCAGGACCCGCTGGTGAGTGGGTGTGGGCGCTGCCTGCAGACTGCTGGCGTTGTGCATGAGCTGAGGAGGCTGCAGGCTGAGGAGGCTGCAGGCTGCGTGCTGGCTGTGTGTGGCTGTGTGTGCATGCAGGCATGCATGCATGTGTATCTGTGTGTGTGTGTGTGTGTATGAAAGAGAGAGGGGTAACAACTGCACATAAGGAGCACGTGCCAGAGTGGTGCCACCTGAGTACAGAGCGTTTATTGGCTGCAGGTGACGTGGGAGTGTGAGCCGTAGGAGCTGCGGTGGGAGAGGGATGCTGTTGTGTGCAGGGTGTGTGCTCAGTGTGCGCCGTGTGCACGCTGCTTGGATGTGGGGCGTGTCCAGTGTGCCAGTAGACTGTAGGCTCTGTGCCGGTTGGGGCAGGGCTGGGGGTGGGAGAGGGATGGAGGAAAGGGCTGAGGACTGGCGGGACCCCCAGCATCTGCCCTTCCCCTTGGTCTCAGTCACACTGGGCTGAGGGGCTCTCCCTATCTGGCTGGTGGCTCTCCTGACAGGCCTGTCTGGCTCAGGAGTCCCTGGTTGAGCCCTGCCCTCAATTCCCCTAGGAACTAGATCTGCAGACAGAAGAGAGCCAGGACCCTGTGCCCTTCCTGAACCGACTAGCTCGGCCTCGCAGGAGTGGTGAGCGCCCCTCTTCCCCAAGCTCCTGAGTGACAGTGGTGGTCTGGTAGCTCCAGGGTTCATGATTGCCTTTGTTCAGCATAACATCATCCTCACGAGGAAACTGAGGCCCAGGGAGGGCGGCGGGGCTCAGGGTCTCGCAGCTGGCAGGTTGAGGCTCCAGCCTAGGAATTCTGACCTTCCTTCTGAAGCTCCCGCCCTCACTGTGGACCTGCTTCTTACTTGAGCCAGGGGCCCTGCATATGAAGGGAGGGGGGCCAGGAGTTAGGGGAACCCCTGGTCCTCATGGTGGGGGAGTCAGAGGCCTAGGCCTCAGGAAGCAGAGACTTAGGAATGGGATGATCATGTGACCGTGCATCTGGGCTTGCAAGCGACTGTTCCAGCTTACACCTGTGACCTCAGTGTAATGAAGCACCCCCCTTTTGGATGGTGATACTGAAAGTGCTTATGGGGGAAGATGCAGCCTGAGGTTCCGAGGCCGGGAGTCTGGCAAGAATAAAGACGTCAGGGTCCTGAGAGGGAACAGGGTGGAGGGTGGCTCTTTGGCCCCCACAGGGGCTGCTCTGGTCACCTGTCTTTTCCTTATCCATAGCCCCTAAAGGCCGGAAAGCTCGGGCTCGCAGGGCAGTCGCAGCCCACTATGAAGGTGGGTGATGAGGGGCGTGGGCCTGGGCCTGGGAGGAGGGTGGCAGAGGGACAGGACGGGTCTCACCATCGCTCTCCTGTGTCTTACAGTTCACCCACGACCAGGACAGGACGGAATGCAGGCAGGTGAGACCCCACGCCCTCCTCTGAGCTCTCCCCTGACTTTCTGGGGAAGGGGCCCCTCAAAACCTTTGACATCCCACTCCTCTCCCTGCCTTCAGCCTTGAAATTCCAGAAGCCAATTCATCAAAGTCCTCAGGACTTGGTTTTCTCTGTGACGCAGGCAAGACCCAGCCCTTCCCCAGGTCCAGACTGACTCCCGCTCTGAATCACGGGCCCCGCCTTTCTCCCTCACGCTGTTCTTCTCCAAAAAGCACCGTCGCTTCTTTCCCTCCATAACCTATGATTCTTCATGCTCTGCTCCTTTTTCCCCTTAAAATGCTTCTAGTTTCTGCTCAAATCTCCCACTCCTACACCACTGTCTGCTTCAACGCTGCAGCCCCAGAGCCTCAAACCCAGTCGGTTGTACTTTCCCCATTCCCTCCTCTCCCCACTTCTCGGCTTTGTCTCACAAACGCGCCAAGCTGAGCTCCCCGAGGCCTCCAGGCTTCTCCACTCCCACTCGGCTTCCACCTGTCCACGGTCTGGTCTCAGCCGCGTTTCCCTGTAGTCCGTAAGTGTTCCCCACGCCTGTTGGGTTAACACCCCTGCCTCCCCCGACCCCGTGCCTCTTCTGGACTTTGCACATACTGTTCCCTCTCCTGGAATGCCCTTCCATTGGGACAGGCTGGAGGCAAGACATGACGGTGCGTCTGTCTGGGGTGTTGGTCGCAGAGAGGGACAGAAATACATGGATTCAGCGTGTGGCTTGAAGATGGGGCTTTGCTTGTGAATCAGATGTGAAGATTAAGGGAAAGGGAGGGCCAGCAGGTGGTGTGGTGATTAAGGGTGCTAGACTCCCACATGGGCAGCCGCTGTTCCAGTCCCGGACCTGGCGCCTTGCTTTCTCACTTTCCCTCTCTCTCACTCTGTGCCTTTCTGGTCAAATTAAAATAAATAAATAGAGTAATTATTTTTAAAAAGATTAAGAGGGGACCAGTAGGTGGCGTGGTGGTTAAGGTGCTGGACACTCCCACATGGCTGATCATGATGAGTACCAGACCTGGTGGCTTGCTGTCTAGCTTTCTCTCTCTCTCTCTGGTAAAATTAAAATAACTGAATGGATAAATAAATAAATAATTCTTTTAAAAAAAGATTAAGAGAAAGGGAGGAATCACAAATGACTTGTAGATTTTTTTTTAAGTTTTCTTTTTTTCTTTGCCATAGGGTGTGCATGCAGTCACTAGAGAGAGACAGGGAGAAGGGGAAAGTGAGAAATGACCCCTCCAGGGGAGATGGCAACATTGCAATCCCTTTTCCTCCATTCTCTCAGAATCTTGGGCAGGCATGCACACGCGCCCGGCGTGTTTTCCAAGCCACTGTGTCCGTGACTCACACAGCAGTCTGCCAAGTGGGATCCAGCATCTTAACTGACATCCCATGTGCTGGCCCTATAAAGTTTTTTTATTCCTCCTTTTTTAAATATTTATTTTATGTTATTTGTTATCATTATTCACTTTTTAATTTGAACAGAGAGAGAGACACACACACAGAAGGGAGCATGAGAGAGCAAGCTGCCAGTTCCGGGACTTGAACCACAGTCAGCAGTGTAGGCGCCCAGTGTCCGAACCACCATGCCACCTTCTGGCCCCCTATTCCTTTCCTTTTTAAAATTTACCAGAGGGCACATGTGCTTGCTAGAGAGAGGCATAGAGAAAGCGAGGCAGTGAGAATGCCCTCCCACTCCCCCGTCGTGGGACACGGCCATGCCCCAGTACCTTCTCCTCCATCGTTCCCTGCATTTGGGATTTGGGGCACGCATGCACGTGTGCTCGGTATGCTTCTCAAGCCACCAAGTCTGGGACTCAAACTGTGATTTGGCCCCGTGGGACCCAGCCTTGACCACCAGGTCACAGTCTGGCTCTATTCCTTTCTTTTATGAGTGAGAAAAAGAGAGAGAGAGCACGTACCCACAGCAGGGTCCCGACACCCTGCGATCCACCCCAACCTCGGTCAGTCCAGGTCATGGGTACATGTGTGCGCAGTGTACCCAGGGAAACAGGCTGGGTGGCGTGTATATAATTAACTTTGAGATACCTAATCCTAAGCGAGGGGGTACGTGGTAATAAGTGAATTCTGTAAATAGATGGCTGGACACAGTAGACACCAGGGGAGAGAAGGGTCCCCAGAAGGAAGCCCTGAGGCTCCTGGACACTGGACATCTAGAAGCAGGTGGGGGAGGGAAGCCAGCAGAGGAGCTTGAGAAGCAGAGGGAATTAAGAAACCCAGGGTGGGTGGTGTCCTGGAATCTAAGAGAGAAGGAGGATGTGGCTGTCTGCGTCGAATGCAGCTGAAAGGTCACATGAGATGATGACAGAGAAATGACTGCTGGGTTTGGTAACATAAAAGCCAACTGGTGACCTTGATCAAGGAGGCCTCCCTGGAGTCGTTAGGATGAAAGCCAGCATGGATTGGGTTGAAAGAAAATGGAAACCAGGGGATTAGACACTGACTGTCCTCAGAGGTTTCCGTGTGACAAGCAGCAGACACACAGGCCAGTAGGTGGAGGGAGATGGAGCAAGGGAGAGACCTGTCTTCTGTATTCACATGGCGTTACCCGTAGCTCACAGCTCTCGGGAACTTTCTCCAGGTAGGCGCTGTACCACACGCTCAGCTGTTCGATTTGATCTAAATCTCACGACAGCCCTAAAAAGGTCATCTGATTACCCCCCTGCCATGAACTGTGGTTACACAATTTGGCCAAGGTCAGGATGGAGCCAGGGTTTGAAACCAGACATGGTCTGCCTGTCTGTGGGAGAGTGGGAGAGTAGATCGCAGGTGCAAGACTCAGGGGGTCCCTGTAGGGACAATGGCCAAGAAGTGGGAGAAGGGCAGGAGGCCTTGAGGAAAGAGCGGGAAGAGTAGGGCTGGTAGGTGGTAGAGAATATCCATGTGAGACAAGCCACTGCTTGTGACACAAGTGGCACTAGGCCACCCTTCCATGGTTCCAAGCATATCATGCACTTTGACCCCAACCAGCCTTTGCTTAAGCTGGTTCTATAGCTGGGAATGCCTTTCCTTTATGACTCTCCCTACTCTTCCTGCCCAGGTCAGCCTTCCGCTCCTTTGTATAAACTACTTTTATTTATTTATCTGTTTGTTTTTTAGTTTTGCTATAGAGCACATGCACTCACCAGAGAGATAAAGTGAGAAATCAAACACCCCTCCAGGGGGATGGCCATGCCACAATCCCTTCTCCTCCATGTTCTACTCAGGATTCTGGGCACACATGCACATGCACCCAGCATGGGTTTTAAGCCACTGGGTCCAGGACTTGAACCGTGAAGTTGAGCATATGGGATCCAGCTGCCTTAACCAACATGCCACCAGCTGGTCCTAAGTCACTTAGTTACCCAGACATACATTCATTCTTGACTTAACATACCTGCACTGAGAAGCTACCTTTTGCTAGGGAGCAGGTTCAGTGGCCATAGCAGATAATACACAGACCGGTCCTGAAGGAGTCACCATCTAGGAGAGGAAACAGCGTATCCATTTGTAATGTCAGTGCAGTATGACAAACACAGTATTGGCAGTAGTAGTCAAAGACACTTGGCAGCAGGGCCGGCAGGTGGCGTAGTGGTTAAGGGTGTTGGACTCCCCCATGGCCAACCAGGGTTTGAGTCCCAGACCTGGTGGCTTGCTTTCTCACCTTCCCTAGCTCTCACTCTGCCCCTCTGTGGTCAAATTAAATAAGTAAAGATTGGGACCACCAGTTGGCATAATGGCTATGCTGCTGAACTCCCATATAGTCAACCGCAGTTCGAGTCCTGGACCCGGTGGCTTAAACTCACACCGGGTGCATGTGTGTGCATGTCCAAGATCCTGAGAGGAGAATGGAGGAGAAGGGATTGCGGTGTGGCCATTCCCCCTGGGGGGTGATTTCTTGCTTTCTGTCTCTCTGTCTCTCTCTGTCTTTCTGGCGAGTACACATGCCCTATCGCGAAAATCTCTCCAAAATAAATAAATAAAAGTAAAAATAATTATTAAAAAAAAAAAAAAGAAACTTGGCAGCATGGAGGGACACAGACAACCTCATAGTGGAGAGGGTCTCCTTCCCTACAGAGGTGAGGCATCACTAGGCTTTGAGGCTTGAATGTTAAGACAGGAGGACAAGAGGTGAAGGACATCACGGGTTGAAGCCAGCACCAGGTACAAAGACCCTGGGTCTGCCAACAGGGGGCCGAGGCTAGTGGATGGCGAGAAGTGCGGCGTGGCTAAAGCAGGAAGTGGTAGATGAGCAGGAGGGAGTAGGAGGCTGGAGAAGAAGCCGTCCCAAAAGTGGAGTTTGGGAGTTGTGCTGAGGTGCGCCATGGAAAGGATGAAGAGAGGAGAGGCAGGTTCACGTTCGAGTTTAAGAAACGTGGCTCTGTAGCGGTGTGGAGGGAGGAAACTGGAGGAGCCTAGACTGGAAACCAGGAGTCCAGCGGCAAGGATGCTGCGAATAGCCCCCGTGAGAAGTGGGCCAGGGAGAGAGGTGAGGAAGAACTGTCAGGGACTGGTGATGAGTGGATGAGTTGGGGTAGAAGGAGGCTGGGGGGACCAGCAGTTGGCATAATGGCTATGTTGCTGAATTCCCATGTAACTTGACCGCAGTTCAAGTCCTAGACCCGGTGGCTTAAACTCACACCGGGCGCGTGCGCGAGCGTGCCCAAGATCCTGAGAGGAGAATGGAGGAGAAGGGATTGCGGTGTGGCCATCCCCCCCGGGCGGTGATTTCTCACTTTCTCTCTCTCTCTCTCTGTATTTCCAGCGAGTGCATGCACCCTAACAAAAACCTCTCCAAAAAAAATTAAAAAGGCTGGGTATCCAGCGGTGGTACAGCCGTGAGCCACATGTGGAATACAGACAGGAGGGCACGTGGGGGTGGGATAGCTCAGTGTTGGTCAGATGACTTTGAGGTGCCCGTTGCAACTCCAAAAACAGCAGTAAGCAGAGGAGAAGGGCAGGAATCATTGGGGCAGGGA